TTTGACCTAATTTGCATTTTTCTATTAGCTTACCATAGATTTCCAGTGACTAATAGTCTAACGTTTAATTACTTCACTGTTGTTGGGTAGTTTGCAGTTTTTACGTATTTGCAGTGAATGTATCCTACATATATCTTTGAGTCACTGATTCTTACTTTCCCTGATGAATGCCTAACAATGGAACTGGGTGAGTGAATGATGTCGCTTAAATATTACGAGAAAATGTATTTTAGCAGATAGTAATGGTCAAGGTCATTCATTTTTGTTACACAGCTGTTTTTTCCTAGAACAAGCAAGCTATTTCTGCTGTCACTCTTCTGGCTTAAATGCTAAAACTGACAACCTCCAGATTTTAGGTGTTTTTGGACCAGAAGCATCAGGAACAAATAGATCCAAGTTCAGGTGAGTGAACTTGAATAGAATAGAAAATGAATAGACCAGATTCATTTTGGTTATTATCTCTCTATCTGGTTCCAGCTGCTAGGAGTTTGAAGTTCTGTTGCAGAGTGGGAATAGCCTTCAAGTGACAGGAATAATTTCTAAGAAAATCTTAGTGGCAAATTATAAAAACTAAGGCATTCTAGAAGTAACAAATGGAGGGCAATATATTGCTGAAATAATTCTGAAACAAAACTTGGGTTAGAATCTTGCATGTCACACAGTGCTGTTATTGAGCATCTATTAAAAATTATTAAAAGTTAGCTGGATTTACTATATTCCTTTAGTAACGAAGGTTATCCATGCTGTTACCTGTCCTCCTTTAGGATTGTGTGTAAAGGGCAGGTTTTTGTTCATTCCCTTTGGCTCTCATTATTTAGGTGGTGAGAGTATGATGGTGAGTATGATTGGAAGCAGAATCATAACCTAGGTTTGAGATCATCTTTGGGAAGTATTTAAGTAAAAATAAGGTCAAATTCACAAATTTCCAAAATTCTTTAATTTTGGGCAGTTGCTTACTGCCCAGCAACTTTAAAAACACACTCATAAAAACAGCAACTCACACTAGCCAAAGGTAACGAGTTTATAAAACAGAAATAGTGCTGGCTTTGCTTACTAGTCTGATAAAGCAGAAAGACCAGGTCTGTTTTTCTTTTTCTGGCATGATTCCTCTTGCAATTGCTAGATATGAGTGGTAATTTGGAAGTTAAGTGGTATCCGATACCAATGTGACATACACCTAGGAAAGACCAGTGATGGGTGAAGTCCTTACTCTGTGTTCCATGGTCTTTTGAGTTAGTTGTTTCTATTTAAGTAAAAGGAGAGAGGTTAAGAACCAGGTTATCCCAAACAATGCTGTGAAAGGAGAGACAGGTTAAAAAAAAAAAAGGACTTAAGAAGGAGAAAGAGGGAAGGGAAGCTTCTTGGGCATCACACCATTTGCAAGGTCACAACGAATACCCCAACGAAGGGCAGATCGTTTCTTCTCAGTTGGTACTAGGTAATTGTTTGGAACATATATGTGCTGAGGCTTGGACTGGTGTTCTGCACGACAAAGCATCTGCTCTCGGACACCCCAGCGTAATTCCTTCCTGTGATCTTCACCAGGTAACCGCATCGAGTCCCAGTCTCGTTTATACTCAAAGTAGCGGGCTACCCGGTCTACCTTGCCCCGGTTTCGGCTCAACTGGTCCAGCCTTGGGAGAATAAAGGACTTGGGTCGGCTGGCAACGATCAGGTCTTGTTCATAAGCTGGAGGGCCCATTTCTTCTCTTCGTAGACAGCAGATGAGCTGATCTTGAGAAATTCCTTGGTATTCACGTGGTAGACTAAATTTTTGTGAAATATCAACTGGAGATTCCCTGTCATCCTGGAACTGCAGATTCATCAGCCTTTGTCTTAAGTCCCAGACATCCATGTCACTTTCTGTACCAGACTCCGATTCACTGATGATTGACTCATCTGTAACTAATACTTCCCCACCTGGCTTTCGACGCAGCACCTTTCTCTTCATCACGGGCTTTCGGAGTCTTTGGGAGGCCTCTGAGACTGCTTCTGAAGAGGCATTGCTTTCTATATGTGGGTAATGCAATTGCACAGGAAGAGCAGGTCGCTTTCCTGGGGTTACTGAGGCTTTACTGTAGGGATCATATGGGATGGACTGGGCTGCTCTCCTGACATCTCCCTCATCCTGCCCTGCACAGATATGGGTAAAAGCTGTAGCAGCTGCTAACATTCGTTCTTCTGGATCCATATTGGCCCATTTTTGTCCATGAGGTCCCACAAGTTCCTCCACTGCTTCCCCTACACTGTAGGACCTTCTGCAAGAGAAAACACCGATCAGTTTTCCAGTAATAAATTTCCAGCCCAAAAATCGTTCATTCCCTTCTTGTGTACTATTTTATAGCAGTGAAATGGAGAAAGAATGGCTAAGGCAGTCATAAGTAGAACAGTTAAGTATATAGTAAAATACAGATTAGTACGGGCAGTATGGGAGCACTTTGGAGGGGCATTAACCCAACTCGAGAGTTTATTGAGTGCTTTCATTTCCACTCTCTTCTTATTCACTCCCACTTTTACTGCCTGGTAGTCTTCCCATCTTTAGTAGCTCCTAGGATAGGTGAGTTCAGGCATGAGAAAAGCTCAAGAGACTAATGACATGGGGCACAATACTTAATGTACATTATGTAACTTGTACTTAGAGGGACACTTTATGTATCCAGCACTGTTTTTCGTGCTTCACATTTATTAAATTCGCGTAATCCTCACAACTGTGGGATAGGTACTCTTAGTATCCCCTTTTCACAGATGAGTAACATGAGGCATTGAGAGATCAAACAGCCCAAGGTGGTGGGCTGGAATTTTAACTCAGGCAGTCTGGATTCAGAGTCCTTGCTTTTAACCATGAGAGTGATTTAATTCAAAAAACCATCACAAAAGCAGTAATATAAATGCATACACTCCTTATGCTTAAGAAATAACACGCCTTCAGCTGCCAAGCTAACTATGTTCATCCCAACAGCCTGTCACTGAATTAACTTTTAGTACCCAAACCAACCAGTCAAATACCCAATGCCAGTTTCCTGACTGGATCTAGAATAGGTATCTACTGCCCGGTATTTCCTGTGTCTCTACTATTTTTCTTCTTAAGCTGAAAAACTAACACATATACGTGTAGTTTAAAGCAAGGACTCCCCACCTCACACCACCCAAACCAAGTTTCACTCTCAAAGCCAGCTTCTTATAATTTCTCCAGTAATTTTCCATATTCATATGCACTTTTATACCATAAAGGAACATATTATAGAACTCTTCTAAACCTTAAAGATAGTCTTGGTGATCCAGCTGTTTCAGTACATGTAGACATACTTCATTTTGTTTAAAGGTACATGGAATTCCAGTGTATGGATGTACCATAATTTATTGATCCTGTCCCTGACTGATTTTAGACTTAGTCTTTTGTTCTTAAAAACGAATGTTACAACAAATATCTTGTAAGTTTTTACATACTTGTGCAAGCATATGTGTACATTAAATTTCTAGAAATGGAATAGGTGGGTCAAAAAGTATGTATGTGCTCAATTTTTGATAGCTGTTGCTAGATGCCCTCTAAAGAAGTTGTACTGAGTGTGTATTCCAGATCTTGTTTCTCCTTCCTCTCTCCAAGGTGGTATATTATCAAACCCTCTCCTCTTTGCAGTCAGTTTGGTAAAGAAAATACTTCTCATATAAAGGGGCATTTATTTAAATTGAGTAAATTTGAGCATCTTTTCATACATTTACAAGCTTTTTCTCCCTTTTGTATGAAATGCTTGTTTTCATTTACCTCTCAGGTTGTTGGATTTTTTTCTTGTTGATCTTTATATTAAAACTGATTTATATATTCATGGAATACATACCACCTTTACATTTTTCTTGCCAGTTTGTTATTTACCTTCTGACTTTTTGCTGGTAGAAACATATTTCTAGGTAGTCACATTTTTTTGGTTTTCTACAGTTTATGGGTTTCTACAGTGCCTTACTTATAAATGCCTTTCCTACTTCAACAAGATTATAAGAAAGTTATCTCATGTTTCCTTCTAGTACTTTTATGGTTTCATTTTTTACATTTAAACTTTTCATCTATCATAGATACAGAAACTCAAAGAGCAAAAAACTAAATGAGCTACCTAGACTTAGATAACCTAGTCAGCCTTAGAACAGATGTGGAGATATTCTTTAACTAAAGTAACCATCAGTCAAAGATTGTCTAGTACTGTCCCAGTATTATAGATATAGTACAGTTGTCCTCAGATTATTGCAATATGCCAGGAATTTCAACACTGATATCTAAATTATATTATCTAGAGTGACTTTTAACTGCTAGAGGTACAGAAGTCTTTTATCAGGACATGCAATAAATTTGACTTAAAGATCTTGATGCTTAATTACCTTCTTTCTGCCATCAAAACTGCTTAAAGTAGGAAAATCTTGACTCCAGATTCTACTTCCAATATGAAGTACAATCACTGACAAGTTTCTTCCATCAAGCCAGCTCTTATTGTACCACCTTTAAGACGGAACTGAGTATTAGATAGAACATACAAGCCACTAATTTTACCTGAAATATTGGAAAGCAATAGAAACTTGAAGTAGACATAAATATTGCATATAAACAGATCTTATGATTGCAAAGATGGGACAAATATAATGAGAAGTCAAAAGGAAATGTTTTAGGGAAAAAAAATATCAATAACATCCGTCCTCAGTCATCTCAGCTCATGAAGAAGAGAGAAATGAAATCTACATATTCCGTAAATTCTGACTACTCTTAACAGTGCTAGCTGAATATTTTTTTGATGCTGCTTTCCCTTTCCACTGTGAATTGGCCAGACAGGATGGAAAAGAATAATAGCTGGATGATCAACCCATAATAAAGCTAATGCTTATATCCCTGGGCAGAATCAAAAGTCCATATCCTTTAGGCATCAAATTAAATCTTAGATAATATTTGAACATAATGGAATGATATTGACATCACCAAAGCAATCAGCACTAAAATTGTACCTCTTTACTCTCTTTTCAGATAGGGTGGATCTCTATGATTTGTTTATTCCTGAGGTGGTCTTATCATGGCTGAAAATGACATAGAAAGAATCCAGACTGAGAAACTCCTAAAAAGAGTGCAAGAACTGGAGCAGGAGGTACAGAGACTTAAAAAAGAACAGGCCAACAACAAGGACTCAAACGTTAGAGAAAATTCTTCAGGAGCTGTAAAAGCTAAGCGTGCATTTGATTTCAGCGCTCACGGTCGAAGACACGTAGCCCTAAAGATAGCCTATCTGGGCTGGGGATATCAGGGCTTTGCCAGTCAGGAAAACACAAACAATACAATAGAAGAGAAACTGTTTGAGGCTCTAACCAAGACTCGACTAGTAGAAAACAGACAGACATCCAACTATCACCGGTGTGGGCGAACAGACAAAGGAGTTAGTGCCTTTGGACAGGTAAGGACCATTGTACTGTTCCACAAAGTGAGCAATACCAGTATATTCTAGGCGTACATACTGAGGATTCAGATTATTTGCATCTGTAAAACAATATTTTTCTCTAATTCCACAGGTGATTTCTCTTGACCTACGTTCTCACTTTCCAAAGGGCAGGGATTCAGAGGATTTTAATTTAAAAGATGAAGTCAACGATGCGGCTATAGAGATCCGTTATACCCACATTCTCAATCGGGTGCTCCCTCCAGACATCCGTGTACTGGCCTGGGCTCCTGTAGAACCTAGCTTCAGTGCTAGGTTCAGCTGTCTTGAGAGGACCTACCGCTATTTCTTCCCTTGTGCTGACTTAGACATTGTAACCATGAACAATGCAGCTCAGAAGTACGTTGGCACACATGATTTTAGGAACTTATGTAAAATGGATGTAGCCAACGGGGTGACTAACTTTCAGAGGACTATTCTGTCTGCTCAAGTGCAGCTAGTAGGCCAGAGCCTGGCTGAGGAGGGATGGCAAGAACCCTTTCAGTTATGTCAGTTTGAAGTGATTGGCCAGGCATTCCTTTACCATCAAGTCCGCTGTATGATGGCTATCCTTTTTCTGATTGGCCAAGGAATGGAGAAGCCAGAGGTTATTGATGAGCTGCTGAACATAGAGAAAAATCCCCAGAAGCCTCAGTACAGGTAAGTTTAAAAAAAATGAAACAAGGAAACACCCAGACCCCCAAAATAAAACAGCTATTGCCCTGAGATATGTAAGAATATATTTTAAAATATTCTTCCTCTCCCCACCATTGTCTAAATAACTAAGTCTCTGATTCTGCCTTCATGAAGCATTTACTCTTAACTTACAGAATGTTATGAACATGTAGCAGGGAGTGGTGTCGTTTAATTTTCTTCTGTTACTGTTCTATCCCTTTAGTAAGAAACCGGTGTTTGGACCAGGCCCCTTAAATAATTTTATAGCATTATGGTGGGGCCGAGTCAGCTCACTTCTAGGTGACTTGTTATCACTGAAATTTAACGTAGACCAAGCCTAACTAGTTGATCCATGGTTTTCTGCCTTTTTCTTTTTTTAATTATAAAGTTGTTCAAGGTTAGGGATGGTGTTTTATATTCTTAACTATTAGATACTCAATATTGACAAAGTTTTCCCCCTCCTTTTAACCCAACTAATCCTGTTTTTTAAGAATTGTTGGATGGCTGCTGTGTATTCTCATACTCTGTTTCTTCTCTCTTTCTCTCTAGTATGGCTGTAGAATTTCCTTTAGTCTTGTATGATTGTAAGTTTGAAAATATTAAATGGATCTATGACCGGGAAGTTCAGGAGTTCAATGTTACCCACCTTCAGCAACTATGGGCTAATCATGCTGTTAAAACTCAGATGTTGTATAGTATGCTACAAGGACTGGACTCTGTTGCGGTACCCTGTAGGACAGGTATGACAGGGAACCAAAGTTATACAGGGTTATGGGGGAGGGAGATTCACATAAAGTTTGGAGGTGATTCTATTGTGGTAAAGTATCCATGTAATGCTTGATTGTGTACATTATAGGACCAAAGATGGATGGAGTGATAGAATGGAGAAATGTTAAGCCCTCTATCATAAAGCAGACCAGTGCCTTTGTAGAAGGAGTGAAAATGCGCACTTATAAGCCCCTAATGGATCGTCCTAAATGCCAAGGATTAGAATCCCGGATCCAGCATTTTGTACGTAGGGGACGCATTGAGCACCCACATTTATTCCATGACGAAGAAACAAAAGCCAAAAGGGACTGTAATGACACACTAGAAGAAAATACTATTTTGGAGAAACCAACAAAGAGAGTTTGTGTTGATACAGAAATTAAAAGCATCATTTAACCATAGAGAACTCACCAAGATCTAGGAGGCAACAAAACACCATTAGGCTAAAGAAGTTCTTGCTTGAATAAGAAAGAATTTAAACATTCTTTCATTCCTGTCCAAGAGAATTAGAGATGGAAGAAGCAAAAAGTAATTCTAAAATGGACATATATTTACATACACCTGGAAACCTGTGCCTTGTATTCAAATTCATTAAAGCCAGATCCTGCAAGTGTCTGATTTGTTGTGCTGTCCTTTTTAAAAGCAAATGAGATATTTACTGCTCATCTCAATTCTCATAAAGAGCTTTGCCCAAGTGTCAAAAATTAAAAATACAAAATTTAGTAAGTTATATATTTGATTAACTGGTTTAGTGCCAGGCAAGATACCTGAAAATGACCCAAGTGGGTAAGGCACAGCATCTCTTTTGAAGCTTATCAGCCTAGTGCTTTGTGAGCCACAAATTGTCTCTGTTGCATAGTCCTTTTTAACATTTTACACATGCAGAAAAAACTCTTAGCCCATGGGCCATATAAAAACAGGCCATGCAGTTTACCAATCCCTGGCCTAGTGGTTTAAGGAAAGCTCTTATAAAGAGGAGACATGCAAGCTAAATCTTGCAGAACAAGTGGGAGTCAATTAAAGTGGGGATAAAGTAGCAGAGCTTTAATTGTGTTTAAGGCAGAAGATGCAGCTGTATGAAAGGTTAAAGGTTACAGCATTTGCATTCAGGTAACTAAATACAGTTGTACAGCCTCAGAGTAACAATAGCACAGTTAGGAAAGGTAAGCAAGGGTCATGTTTTAGAGCCTTGTAGGCCTTCCTAAAAAAGCTTAAATTTTATCTTGAGAGGCCACTGGAAAAAAACATTAAGAGCCAGAATTGTGTAGGAAAAATATTGCTCTGGGTTTACTGCATTGCAAGAGGGCAAGACAGTGGGACCAATTAAGAGGCTGTTGGAGCAATCAAGGAAATAGATGATGACGGCCTAGACTAGATTTGCAGAAAGGAGAACAGAGACAAGTAGGTGAATTTGAGATTAAGAAAGGAGAAGCAACAGGACTTCGTGGTTGAGTGAGTGTGAGGTTCAAAGCAGGGACCTTTCAGGATAACTCCAACATTTCAGATTGAAGCACATTCTGGAGACACACTAGGACAGGAAAATGAGGTGGGGCTTTGCTGGTTCTCAAAGTTGATAAGTAACCCTCAAAATATGACTTATAAACACCAATATTCATTCAGAAGAGTTTAAAGTTCTTTTAAATAATACATTATCCTTTATAGCAATTAAAACAATAAACATGAAAGTAAATGAACTCAGACCTTCTGCCTCAATAGTAACAATTTTCATCACAGCAGAGTGTATTGCTAGTCCACATTTATGATATAATGCTATATACTATATGAGATCCAAAGTTTTATTTACCCACCAATAAATAATTAGTTTGTTCCTACCTATATTCAAAATTCCAGGTATACAAATATGATTTATACCCTCAAGCTGCTAGGTAAAATATAATAATAGATGGGACAATTAGAAACAATACTAACATAGAAATAGTACACTGATCCTCAGTAGTGGATGGGCCACAGAAGGACTTCACTGAAAGAGTTCCAAGTTTAGGAAATAAAATAGTATAAGGAAGTGAAGTGACCCTGTAGTTTTGAAGAGCGAGAAGACACAATAGCTTTTACATTCTAGCAGAGTAGGAACCAGAAAAGAGCCCCATTTTAGAGATGGGGAAATAGCTGGACAAAGTAAGATTTTTTCTAAATTGCCAATTGTACGATCCAGGTCTTCTGGAGTTTGAATCACGTCATCAGTTTTTGGGACTTGATCTGCCAACATTTCATAATACCCTAAATGTCCTTAAAATATGACTGCTTTCTCCTTTAATTTTGATGTAAAGATAGTGTAATCACTGAGCATAGCAAAATATCCCCCCTTAAACATGTAAAGACAAACCAAAGCATTTTATTTTTTTTCAGGTTCCTACCTTATTTCAATGTACTTTCACTGGCATTAGTTTTCAAGTCAAAGAAAAACCTAGAAAAGAACAGAGTTTAGGGAATCACTCAAAAAAAAAGTCAACTATAAAGAAATGATACATGGGACAAAAAGCACTAACTAAAAAGCCATGCTTAGGGCTTCCCTGGTGGCGCAGTGGTTGAGAGTCTGCCTGCCAATGCAGGGGACACGGGTTCGTGCCCCGGTCCGGGAAGATCCCACATGCCGCAGAGCGGCTGGGCCCGTGAGCCATGGCCACTGAGCCTGTGCATCTGGAGCCTGTGCTCCGCAACGAGAGAGGCCACAACAGTGAAAGTCCCGCGTACCGCAAAAAAAAAAAAAAAAAAAAAAAAAAAAAAAAAATGTTTCGAAGTTTTTAAAACCTTAAGGGGTTTTTT